AAGACAGTGCAGCCATCATGGGCAAGTGTTAGCAATCCGTTATGCGCAATATGGCGATCTGAAAACACCGAGCCAGCACCAGAAATCGTCAAAAGCACTAGTGCCTCCCAAACATAGAGTAAAATTAGACGGCCCATAAGGAAGTAAGTAGTGTACGCAGAGTATATTGGAACGATGCCAAACTCGGAAGCACCGCCTTAAAACTCTCCATGTCCTCATATGCCGGCATCGTTCCGTAGTCCTCACAGCCCTTCTCATGGCCCACCACCCTCCCATTTCCATCAGTCATCATCGAGAATCCTGCTCGCTATCCGTCCAACAATCGGCACCTCATACCTATATCATAGTCAGTCATCTTCATCTTTCTCAGAGCCCCGTCCAAAGTAAAAACCCACCTATCCAGCGTATCAGCATCCCGATACGCATTCAACACCAACCACCCAATCAACACCAAATCCCCCAAAAACATCACCCAGCTCAAGAAACTCGACCAGCTAAACAGCAAATGCAGGACAAACAGCCCCGTGAAAAGCAAGCTCGACTGCCACGCATGAAACCGGACGTAATCACTCTTCCTCTCCAAAATCAACAGTAATATCCCCCCCAGCGGCGGAAACGCCAAATACGCCAGACAAGCCTCATAATCCAGCCTCAACCCCAAGCTCGTATCAAACTCCGATACCATCCCCTCCCTCGCCCCCAGACTGCTAAAGTAATCCCCCATCGCGCTCGACGCCACCCCGTTCCCGGTCTCGTTCTGATACGAATCCCCGCTCGTCCAGACGTTTGCCGCCAGCGGACTCTGATATCGCCCTACATTATCCCCGCTCCACGCCCTCTGCGGCTGCGGGTGTTGAAGCGGCGGGGGTGAGTTCGCTGGTGGACGGTGTTGGTAGTTGGACGGGGAAAACGCTCCCCTGCGTGTGGTGTCGAGTGATGTTCTCGGAGACCCAGCGGTGGTGCTGTTGGATGGGGAGCGGGTGTGCTCTGGTGGGGAGGACTGATAGGGTGCAAAGTCCATGTTTGTGTGTGTGTGTCTAACAAGGGAGCTAACACTGTCTAGCTTGTTATGTTTGAAGCTTGCCAACACACACCAAAATACCACCAGCGAGCGAGCCTGTTGAAGGTCGACGATATGCAGCGGTGGTCCGATTAATATCGTGAACAGTGGTCTGCGGGTGGTGTTGCGGGGGAGACCGCCGACCAGGAAAGCGGGACGGTGGGTTGCGAACGAGGGGAGGGGTGTAAGACTTGGGTGGGCCTTGGTTGGGGGAAAGAGCTTAGAAAGCTTGATACTTGGCCGGCATGGTCTAGACTCTGTGGGTAGATTTCTTGGTTAGAATCTCCTTCAACAAAACCGGGGAGGGAGGGAGAAGTACCCGTGATATGAAGTTGAAGTGTCGAGGGAAATCACCCTCGCACCACAAGAAGCTGGTGTTGCGTTGCTGAGCCGCATTGAGCTGGGGGGGATGACGCGCGCAAGGAAAGCATCCCGTTAAGCCGACCGGGGTAGGCACCTGAGCTGCAGGGACGGTATGTTAGTGGGGTTTTGCACTCACTGACACATGAAAGAAACACATCATCAAATGATGTTTAACTTGTTTGCATTGAATCTTTACAGTATATTTTACAGCTCCAGATCTCGCATATACTGCAGTGCAAGATCGTGGGTAATGACACCAGCACGCTCCCCCACGCCCGCCAAGACATGAAATGTGATAGACACCCACCAGCTCAAGCTTAAGCATCGGCCTTCTTCTCCTCCGTCTTCCCACCGTTCTGCTCCTCCTCCAACACAGTTCTCCTGCTTTCCATCGTGAGCCAGAGCGCCTTGCCCGCACCCTCGAGCGTCGAGGTGAGACCCATGCCCGCGCTCTGGAGCATGTGCACAAGCTGGGCACGCAGACCATCCAGACCATTCTCGATGCCACCAACCCACTTGACGCCCTCCATATCAAACGCCTTGTCCTCAATCCGGGCACCAATGAGCAGCAGCTTCTGCAGGGCGCTCTGGGTGATAGGTTCATGATAACCGGGGTTCTTCTTTCTTGTTGGCGCAGGGAACTGTGGAGGGCTGGGGGCGAGAATGCTGAGGGCAGCAGCAAGATGTTGAGGCGACACAGCTGGGAGAGTGAACGCCGCCACAGGACCGACCATAAGAGCCGAAAGCTGAGCGTATGTGGAGGTTTCGGGAATCTTAGTCTCACCCATGGTGACACTCTTGACGGCCTTCCAGGCAGCCTTGGAAAGATCGTGGTTGTACGTGACCTTTACCCTCTTGCCGCTAGCAGTAGGAGCAGAGGTGGGCTCGACTTTCGAGGGATCGAAGAACTCGACCAGCTTCATGGCGACATCGAAGATACTTGTTCTGACGACCTGGATCTTAGCCTTGGAGGCAATATCGGCAGACGCATCTCCCGTAGCTGGTACAGCGTCGAGAGCGGCCTTGAGTTCCCGTCTAACAGCAATCCATTCCTCGGCAGTCAGGTTATTGTGTTGGAACAGGAGAACCACGGGGGTGGTGCGGAGGAGGGAGGTATATGTTCGGAGTAGCTGGGCCTTCCGGGTCTCGCCGGGACGGGCTGTGGGCGGTTTTGTGGGAGGGACATAGTCGTCGGGTAGGCTCAGGCCTCTAGATACCGTCGCATATTGTCTGGCGGCCGAGGTCACTGCTGGGGTTGATGGGCGCAGGAGAGCAGCAGATGGTCTGGAGGGTTTGACAGCAGCAGTCAGGCCGCGGGCCGACGCTGTGCATCGTAATCTTGGTGGCATGGTGTTTGCTTCTTCCGGTCAGTCTGGTGTTCACCCCTTTCCCATGGCGCAGTATACCAACCTGGTCTAACAAATGACCTCCCTCTCGTTCAATAACCTCTACGGCTTCCAATCCGGCAACCCAGAAATTTTGGCCGCAGCGCCAATGGAACGGCAGGGTGGTCCAAGCTTCCTTCAATTCAGACCCAATAGCGTCTCACCGCCTAAATTCTGCCAAAAGTGACAGGCTGCCTACCCCTGTAACTTCCCCCGCTGTAACTTGGTAATCGAGGGGCCGTCGCCGGAAGCTGTGCGCGACAAAGCATTCAACTCAGACCTGTAAGCTCCTGGCCATGTTTCCTTTCAAGATGACTCAACCTTCTCACTTTTGTTTTCTTGCCATTGTATTTCAGGAGTTGCTGCTGGGAATTCGGCATTCCCCAATCAAATAGAAACCGTTTCAATCCAAGCCACTTTCCCACTTATTCCAGACCAACTCCGCGACTTTAGTTCAAACTGCCCACCATGTCGTCGCAAACAGCAACAACCCCCGCCGAGCTCCCCCCAGTCGACATTAAACCTCTTCTCTCTCGACTCTGGCCAGTAGGCCACCCAGACACCGTCTCCTCCGACGAGATCGCCAATGCCATCTCCTACTTCTTCACCAACCAAGTCTCCGATGTCCAAGCCGGCTCCCTCCTCATGTGCCTGCACTTCACCGGCCTCGACCGCCAAGCAGAAGTGCTCTCCAAGACGGCGCAAGCCATGTTGAAATCAGCCGCCAAAATCGACGTAGATGAGCTTCGCAAAGTAGTCGACTCCCGCCGGCGACCAGAAGGCGACTACCAAGGAGGCCTTGTTCGTCCCCCCTCCCCCCCGCTTATTCCCTTTCCTTCACTAACCCCCCTCTCCTTCTCCAGGTCGACATAGTCGGCACAGGAGGCGACTCCCACAACACATTCAACATCTCCACCACCTCTTCCATCCTCGCCTCCTCCCTCCTCCTCATCGCCAAACACGGCAACAAAGCCTCCACCTCCAAATCCGGCTCGGCCGACCTCCTCAACTGCATGACTCCCCTCCCCCCCAAAATCTCCCTCATCACCCCCTCCACCATTTCTCTTCTGTATTCCCGTTCCAACTACGGCTTCCTCTTCGCCCCGGTATTCCACCCAGGAATGAAATACGTCGCCCCCATCCGCCGCCAGCTCCCCTGGAGAACAATCTTCAACCTTGTCGGCCCCCTAGCAAACCCAACTGACATCTCCTCCCCCCCCCTCCTCGAAGCACGCATGATCGGTGTAGCGCGTAAAGATATCGGTCCTGTCTTCGCCTCTGCCTTGGTTATGGCCGGAGCAAAAAAGGCAATGGTTGTTTGTGGTGATGAGGAGCTAGATGAGATTTCTTGTGCGGGGGAGACGCTCTGCTGGAGGATTGTGGACGGGAAGACGGAAAATTTCCGGTTGCATCCGCGAGACTTCGGGCTGCCAGCTCACCCGCTTAGTGAGGTCTCTCCGGGCAAGGAACCGCAGGAGAATGCGGCGATTCTGACGAGGATTCTGAACGGGGAGGTGCCGGATGATGATCCGATTTTGCATTTTGTGCTGATCAACACGGCGGCGTTGTTTGTTGTTGCGGGGGTTACCGAGGCGGAGACGAGTGATATGGGGTATGGGGATGACGGGAAGGTCATTACTGAAAGGGGGCCGGGAGGGGGGAGGTGGAAGGAAGGAGTTAGAAGGGCGAGGTGGGCGGTCAAGAGCGGGGAGGCGGCGAGGCAGTGGGCGAGGTTTGTCGAGGTTACAAACTCGTTTCCCGAAGAGTAGAGTTGTCAACTCTTTTGACCGATTCTGGAAAGGGAAAAGGAACGGGAAGGGAAGGGGTGAATATCAAAGTCCAAGTTTCAGGCATATGACTTGGTTGGAGTGAATATGTGTGACGTTTCACGCATGCTCCTACAGCTTTGAGCAAGAGCCGATGCAACTGAGATATCGTCTTAGTTTTTTAGCTAGAAATGGCCGAATGAATCTACTTGATCATCGCTACCAAATCTGACCCTTTTCTTTCTAGTGATACATCCCAAGAAAATAACCACCTGCTTTCCACCACCCCAACAAGCATCAAACAATACAATCCCAAAATCTTTCCTACCCATGTCTACAACTTGGCACCACCACCCCCATAATCTAGCCCCCCACCCCTCACCTTCCCATTCCTACCCCTCGGAGCATCCCTCTGCCCCCTCCCATACCTCCACCACCGATTCCTATTCCTCCCACCACCACCACCACCACCACCATCACCATTGGCATGCCCCCACGAAACAGCCTCCCCAGCATCCTACCTAGAAAGCACCCCCCGCACGACACCCTTCAACCCCGGCCTCCCCTCCAAAACCAGCTCCCCAATCCCCGTCCCCTCCCCGCTCCCCACCTCCAACCACCTCTTCAACAAATCATTCGACTCCTTCGGCTTAATCCCATCGCTCCTCGTGCCAACAGTAATATGCGCAACCCTCGTTACACACTCCCACTTCGGCTTCGTGTCCTCCTTCCCATCCTTCCCCATAACAGTAAATCACATCCCCCTCCCCAGGCACCAGCCTAACCACAATCGCCATAACCCTCTCATCAAACACCACCCTCTCAAGCTGAACCTCCATCTCCCCCAGCCTCCCATCGTCATGAATTTGCCCATCCGCCTCATGAACAGCCACATACCGATCCCAAAGTTCTTTATTCTCCTTGGCTCCAGCGCGGTGCATCAACGTAACGTGGAACTTGGCCTGTATCCTCCTCTGGCCCTGAAGCATCTTGTAAAACTTTGCCTGCTTGTTGCCCCACCGAGGCGAAAGCCTTCTCCAGCGCGTCCAGCACGTCCTTGGTCTGGACGTCGACAGACATGTACTCGAGAGGCTTCTTCTTGATCTGCCTGCCAGTAACAGGGTTGATCTGTTGGTGAGGCTTCTTGCCCTTGTTGTTGGAGCGATCGGGGATGTTGTGTCTCAGATCAGGAGTATGCCCCTCCAGAGCAGCCTTGATGGCCTCATCCATAGCCTCAGGAGAAGGAACCTCAGTGACAAGCTTGGGGTAGAGACGGTGAAGCTCCTTGATGACAATCTCGAGGTTGGCTCTGCTTCCGACGGTAGGGTCGAGGTCAATCACGGCGTCGAAGCCGGCATCTGGCTCCTTCTCTGGATCGCAAGGCTCAAACCGGTGGAGGAATCCCTCCATGATACCGACTACCTTGCCCATGTCCGTGGCAGCCTGGATGGTCTGGTGGTTGTCGCCACGGCTGAGCACGCGGTCCTGGGTGATCTTTCGGATGTTTTCGACGTCGTTGTGGACAAAGTGGAGAGCCACAAGCCTGGCATTGGTGTGCTGAAGCTTGACATCCGTGATCAACTGCTTGCGTTCGTGCTTCTGGGCGTTGTTGCGGTCGGCAAAGACGGCAGGGGCCTCGTCAAGCTCGTCAAGGAGAGCCTTGGTGAAACGCGGAGGGCGCTTGGGACCGGTGATGTTGTCATTCTGGATGTGACCCCAGCCGAAGAGCTTGGTGAGAGCAACTCCGATAGTCGTCTTACCGCATCCAATAGTAGCAATCGGAACAACAATCACATCTCGTGTCACCTCGGTGAGCCCTCCGTTGCCGTGCAATTCCTCAAAATTGGCGGCATCAGACCCCTTCATCTGCTTGAACTCGAGGAAGTCGTTTCTCAGCTTGATGATGCCATGGTTCTGCTGGTAGAGCTTGCCCAAGTTTCGATCAGCGGCCAACCTCTTGCGGGCGTACAAAAGATACTCCTCAGTGATCTTGACGTGCTTCTTGATCCTCGGCTGCTTCCCTGAGATCAGAGACTTGGTGCACTCTCTCCACTGGCGGTACATCAGATAGGGCTCCTCGAACTTGTACTTGAAGAACCAATCCATAAAAGGTTGCTTCGTAGGATCGTGGCTCATCTTGCAGCGGATGACAAAGCCCTCCACGTCACGCCCATCATGTGCTCCGGTTTCCGCAACCTCCTCAAGGAAAGCTTTGACCTCCTTGATATCGTCAATCATGATGAGCCCCGTCTTGACGAAGCCCCAGTCCTCGGCGAACTTCTGGACAAGCTGCGAAGGGTAGGTGAAGAATTCAGGAAGGTTGAGGTTGATGCCGTGAAGGTAAAGACCGGCCTTGTCCGGCCCGTAGGCCAAAATATGCTCCTCAAAGTTGTCATCGCAAAGCTCAGCAACAGCAGTGGCGTTCCTCCTTCTCAGTTCCCTGGCCAAATCCTCCTTGGTTTTTCCAATACGCTGCAACTGTCTCTCGATATGCTTCTCGCCAACGCTGGCGTGGCTGTGCTCAGCATCCTGCCGGTCTCCAGTCGAGTGTTTGCTGCAGACAAGAAGTGTGTCGTCCTCAAGCCCGCTGATGAAGATGATGCATCCGTTTTCTTTCAGCGTGAGCTCATATGGGCCCTTGGTTCTGCTCAGAATATTGTCCCAATCCGTCTCGCGTACCTCGCCGCAGTTGAAAAACTTGTCGTACCCCCGAATGACGATTTCCGGGGTGCCGTCCTGTCGTTTGGTGGTGAACAGGCCGCGAGCGTAGGTTGGGAGATCTCTTCGCTTGTAGTCCCACTCCTGAAATCTCCACGAGTCTACTGTCGCCTTGGTTGGCGAGGCGGCAACGGCGTACTTTGTCTTCTTGACGTGGAAGCCGCTCCTTCCCTTGCCCTTTTTGGCACCGTCATCGAGGCCGCGGAGAAGGCCAGCGATCTGCTGGGCATCTTGGCTGATGTATGGGACTTTCATGTCGACTGCATCTTTGGCGTAGTCGGTCGAAGCCTTGTATTTGAGCGAAAGTGGGTTATCTACCATATCCGTCATGTTGGCTGTGATTTTGTTGCTGTGTTGGTGGTCAAGTCAGATAAGTGGTGGTGAAAGGGAAAGGTGAGGTTTGTTGAATTATGAGGGGTGAAGAAGTTGTGGTGGATACGGTGACCAGAAGGCTTTCCTGGCTGAGAGTTGGGAGAGAGAGGATTTATAGAGAGCTGCGTTAGCCTTTTTCGTTGCAGAGTGTAAAAAAACGTCGAGAGTTTGACAAGGTGGGAAGGCGGCAGTTTACAGCATATATCTGTTTTCGCTGGAGGCTTCGTAAAGGCTGGGAAGAGGGACCTGGGACGGATCAAAGGCAGTCACGCCTCAAATCGGCCCAATGAATCAACGACCCGACGCCTAGGGCAGCACGAAAGCAGTAGGCCTATAGCAGTCACCCCTGGATTGATAGAGAGAGAGACACACACAGGCTTGACTGTTGCTTCAGACAATGGTGCACTGTGCCTGCTTTGAAGGGGCCCTGTAAGCGACAAGCAGCCATTCGGCATAAGAGTCACACCTTGGGGATTGGCGACCGTGTTGGTGAGAACAAAAAGGCAGTGCTTAATTTTGAGGACGGAACCAACCACGCGAGGCCTCACGGTAATACGTTGTTGGTGCTGGCTAGAACGTGCAGATTATTCTCTAGCATGATGATGTTGAATTTACCATTACCCATCTTTTATATCAATACTAAGAGCCAGCTATGAAGAACAATGGTAAAGATCACGACGCTATAGAGAAGAGTTCTCTCTGTGGTGTGCCCAAGTTTAGGGCCTGAAAGTCTGCCCACCAGCTGCCGACTCCCGACAAAGTGGCGCACCGGCATTTTCAGCGGAGACCCGTTCTCTGCCAGACTGTTTTTAAGCATGGCATCCCTGTCGTGCCCCGCGTGGTGTAAACCCCCACCAAAATTTTGTTGATAGCACTGCCCCTCCAAGCCTTGATCACGAACCAAAGGAACACTCCCAGCGACATCCTACCCTATACGATACGAACAACCCAGAACCATCTGTCCATTTTCTTGACTGCCACTCACTAACGCCCACCATGTCCCCTAACCCCTACCTCCTCGCCGCCGACAACCCGCAGGCCCTCCTTGAGCTCCTCCGCGAGAACCCCTCCATTGCCGTGTGCCAGGACGAGCACGGATACTCTCTCGTACACGCTGCCGCCAGCTACAACCATTTCGACCTCCTCCGGAGCTTGATCAACGAATTCAAGGTCCCAGTCGATATCAAAGACGAAGATGGCGAAACAGCCTTGTTTGTGGTTGAGACAGTGGAAGCGGCTCGCATCCTAGTCGAAGAGCTGAAGCTCGACACCAAGATCACAAACGACGAAGGCCAAACCGCCAGAGAAAAGATCGAGGCTGAAGAAGAATTCCCAGAGGTTGCCGAGTATCTCGCTGGTTTAGAGGGCGCCAACGGGGTAGCTAATGGCACAGAATTGCCGCCTGCGCCCCAAGGGTTGAGGGTTACTGTTGGTACAATGGATGAGGCCGAGGCGGGCGAACAACAACCAGACCCCGAGTTCAGGAGAAGGATAGAGGAGCTGGCCGCCAGAGACGATATCCACACACCTGAGGGCCAAGCAGCTTTGCGCCAGCTTGTTGAGGAAGCCATTGGTGGAGAGGGCCTGGCTGAGGAGAGAAGTGTCCGCCCGAGACAGGACTAATTGATACCCGAGATTTATTGTCACTCATGACTCCTGACTTCCCACATGAGATACTCCCCCAGCCGATTTGGCGGTCGGAGAAAGGTACACTCAGTGTTGTCCCCGGCAATGCCTTTTGAAAAGGTGGTTGTACTGAAAGAGAACCACGTCTTGGAGGGGAGGACTGTGAAGAGGCCGATCAAGGTCTGACGGGTCCATGATGGGGAGAAAAATCCTCGCCAACTGAGCTTGCAGATTTTGGCCGGATTACTCCCATTTGGGATGCGGTATAATGACAGGTACGGGTCGATGCTGTCACCTTGTAGGATGCGAGGACTCTGTAGTCTGACCAGAGCAAGCCATTCATACAGTTCGGATGAGAAGTCCTCGAGCTCATCCCTGGCGATTTGCTCAGATGTGCCTGTTGGTGGAGTAAGGATCGGTACGAGAGCATCGATGTCTTGTGTGATGGATAGGTTAGACGTGCAGCTGGTTGGGGAGAGGGTGGCCAATGGGTCTGGGTCAGGCACTGCAAATCTGAATTAGCAGAAGAATGTCATGGGAAAATTGAGAGAACTCACCTGTGGAAGTCATATTGCAGAAAAGCCAAGTCACAGCCCCACTGAAGGCATTTTTGCTGGCATAGATCAGTCTGTCGTAGCCCTTCTTTCCCTTGACCATGGATGAGCTGTTGAGATCGATCTCGACAACTACAAAGGATTGTTAGCAATAGTCAAAGAATGCGTATGCTAGATATGACTGACTCCAACGAGGCTTAATCCCACGATTTCCTTTCACGCCATGCGGCTTCCCCACCAAGCCGGCTCGCTCATATGCCTCCTTGTCGAGGAACATTGTCAAGTGCCCTACATACTGTTAGTCAATTGTCAACCTCTACCCGGCCTCTATCAATGCGTACCACTCCTCAAAGCAAAAACATTGTCAATCCCTCTTCTTCCCTCCGAGAGCATCAAAATATTTCCTTGCTTGATGTAACTGCTGTAAAAATCCCCAGATAGAATATCGTGCAGCGACATGACAATCCGCTTGTACTGGGGAGCAGCGTCATGCTTCAATAATTCTTCTTGGACTACCTCAAAAACTTCCTGAGGCAAGATGAGATCGGCCTTGTCAATTGGTCAGCATGGTGACTTTGGTGTGAGGTGATGAGGTAGATTGCGTACTGTGTAGACAAAATCCTGAGCTGCAAAGGCAGTCCACGGCTTGCCTTTGGATGGGGGCTGTTTAGGGTCTACATGGCCCATGACTCCGTGTGTGACGAAGCATTTTGAGGATTGGTAGAAGGCTGGCTGCTGAAAAGAAAGCATCGTGGGCGGTTGTTTTGACCTGAATCCTCGATGCTGAATGTTTGGATGTGCTGTGATGGATTCGGATATCTGCCTGCAAGACGGTGCTGGACAGTCGTTGCGTTGAAACTGCCCTAGGCAAAATCTTGAGAATGGGTACGCCTGCACGAGGGGTGGCTTTAGTTCATGCATTACATACGCTGATGAAAATTCAAAC